TGTGCTAAGCCCTATTTGTCTGCTAGCATTTTCCTTATTTCTAAATAAGTAAATCTCAAACCCAATTTCAATTACATTCTCGCGATAAAACGTTTTGCACATAAATTTAGAATTTTTTTTACTTTTTAACTACATATTTTCCAAAAATTCATTATTTCGAAACTTATTTTCCTACTTTAATGGTAGACAAACATGAGCTAAACATAGCTTTGTTTCACTGAACACGACGCACTAGTAGCGATCGTGGATGAATAAATTGACTCAATGAACCTTTCTTTATTTTTTATTTTGAAGAACTCAACTCAATGATATCATTAAGTTCTTTGTAGAAAAATAGAAATAAAAATTATATCAGACGGATCTTAAATATAGTAAGGTGCCTTCATGTATAAATTGAGGCAGTTTGAGTCGAAATTATACAAACCACTAATATCGAGGAATTTGACTTTTATGTGATTTCTAATAATTTTATCAAAAGAAAACAAAGAAATTGTTAAGAGAGTTCAATAATGAATTGATTTGTGGGAAAATTCCATATATAAGAGATTAAGTATAACCTATTTCAAAATTAAGAAATAAGGTTTAAAACTTCAAAAATCAGATGTTAATTACATTATGTTATAAAAATAATTAATTCAAAATATATTTTATTAATTAAATATAATAAAGTCACAATTCTATACAATTTGATTACAAATTATCGAATTAATTGATCACAAATTATTTTTCAGTCACAGATCAAAAAATTTATATGTCACAAATAAAAAATTTCGTAGGACACAAAATCAAAAATTTATAATTCATGATTTATTTATCTATCATAAATTATAAATTTATAAGTAACAACTCAAATTTTTAGTTCACATATTATTTATTGATCGCAAGTCATGGAGGACATATTATTTATTAGTCAAAAAATATATAATTTATTGGTCATAATCTCAAATAATTGATCACATATTTATTGGTCACACACAAACCATCGCACCACTACCACCATCTCATACCATTCACACAAATAGCCGTCAATTACCCATTCCGCCGCCAATATTTTTCGGCTTATTGAAAGCCACTTTTTCACAAATATGTCATACCACCATCAAGAACCACACAATGCGGTCAATACCACGGCGTTGCTACTTTGCCCCATAGAGATGCTATGGTGTGCACCGTATGATTCATTTGTAAGTTTATTTGCTAATTCACCTGTACAGCAATAGCGTGGGCCGCTGTGCAACGACAATTAGAGAGAAGTGTGGAAAAATTAGGGCAATACATAGAGAGAGTGTGTGGAGGGAGAAAAGTGGGTATATGTTTAATTTATAATAATAATAATATATTTCACTTACTAAATATTAAATAATTAATTATAATCTGAATTGTGAAACATAAAACTTATTTTCTTATTCATGAAATGTAAACTTGAAAAACAGCACTGGGTGTAATTTCCACTTGATTCAATTGTTTAGATAGAGTGGACAGTTCCGTGTTTGGTGAAACGTTGCCAAACTATTTTCTACTTTCTATAATTAATTTAAACCCCGTTTGGCCCCATTATTTGGTATCATAATTTATGAAATAGTGTTTTTCAGAATGTGTGATTAAAAAAGAATGAAAGTTTTTTATTTATGTGTAATATTATTTTATAAAAGATTGTGTGATTGAAAATAAGATAATGAAAAATTATAATGTGAAATAATGGGGTCAAACGGCAGCCTAAACACTTGTCAAATCCTACTAAAATTACTCTTTAATCTTAAGAATAATGATATTTGCAGTCGCTCACCGTAACATACACATGGCAAGTGGTTATTTGATACATTAATGAGTAAAAAATTACCACATTAATACATCAAATAATCACCTGTCATGTGTATACCACATAGAACGACTGCCGCAATGAGCGACTATGAATAGCATTACTCTAATCTTAAAGTCATGTTTGGGTGAGCTGAGGTTGGATTATGTCCACTTCAGCAGTTGGTATCTTCTAAGACCAATTTGCCCTCAACAACCTCCAAACACCTTTTTTCTTTTTCTTTCTTTCTTTCTTTCTTTTTGTTTATCTAGTGATTTTTGATTTCACATACTACAATGAATTTGTTACAATATCTTGAATAGACATGTTTGATGTGTGTCCGTAAAATTTGCATGTATTTTTATATATCAATTGATAACACTGATTGAGTGATCGAGCATCAATTAACACATGTTGATTAGCTTTAACATTTAAAACATATAAACTATCGTAAATTTGAATAGTTGAAATTTTATATTGTAAACAAATTTTAAGATAAAAATAGTATCTATGTTACTTGGAAAGGCCTACGCTCACTAAAATTACACGTCCACGAATGTTTCCACCCGCAAAATGCTCGTTGATATTCAAAAAGTTGACGAAAATTGATTAAAAATGTAATTAAGAAATTGATGAAAATTATAAATATAATAAAATGTGTGATTCAAAATAAATTTGAAAAAAAAATTCCAAAAACAGAAAATCCCCAACAACTCCACCAACCAAAGGACATTTTTGTCCATTCATGACTTTACCCCGCCAAACCCACCCCACTCCTGTACATCGTTAAAATCAGACCCCAATCTCGTACTTATCCTTGCCCGAGCTCCATCTCTCTGTCTCCCTCTCTCTCCCTCTCATTTGTCCAAATAACCATCTTCACCAAAAATGGATCCAGTATCCACCTGGGGCAACACCCCTCTCGCCGCCGTGGATCCCGAGATCCACGATCTCATCGAGAAGGAGAAACGCCGCCAGTGCCGCGGCATCGAGTTGATTGCATCCGAGAATTTCACTTCCTTCGCCGTCATCGAAGCCCTTGGCAGCGCCCTCACCAACAAGTACTCCGAGGGCATGCCGGGGAACCGTTACTACGGAGGTAACGAATACATAGACCAAATCGAAAACCTCACCCGTTCCCGCGCTCTCCAGGCTTACCGCCTCGATCCCACTAAGTGGGGTGTCAATGTACAGCCCTACAGTGGTTCTCCGGCGAATTTTGCTGCCTACACAGCGGTCCTCAACCCGCATGATAGGATCATGGGCCTTGATTTGCCTTCGGGAGGGCATTTGACACATGGGTATTATACCTCTGGTGGGAAGAAAATCAGTGCCACATCGATTTACTTCGAGAGCTTGCCTTATAAGGTGGATTCGAAGACTGGCTACATCGATTACGATAGATTGGAGGAGAAGGCCCTGGATTTCAGGCCTAAATTGATTATCTGTGGAGGAAGTGCTTATCCCAGGGACTGGGATTACAAAAGGTTCAGGGAGATTGCGGATAAATGCGGCGCACTTTTACTTTGCGACATGGCTCATATTAGTGGTCTTGTTGCTGCTCAGGTATATCTGACTGTGGATCTTACAATTGCTGTTAAATTGTTTTGGAAATGTTAGATCAGAATCTTTGCATTTGGATCTTAAGATATATAAATGGTGTTTTAGCCTGTTCATTCTGTGCAATTCTTTGCTTTTATTTGAGGAAGTGATCATCGTTAATGTTATTAGGAAGCGGCAGACCCGTTCGAGTACTGTGATATAGTCACAACTACCACTCACAAGAGTCTGAGAGGTCCTAGGGCCGGCATGATATTCTACAGGAAGGGTCCAAAGCCACCCAAGAAAGGCCAGCCGGAGGATGCAGTTTATGACTTCGAGGACAAGATCAACTTCGCCGTATTCCCGTCTCTCCAGGGTGGTCCACACAATCACCAGATTGGCGCTCTTGCTGTAGCTCTTAAACAGGCAATGTCCCCTGGATTCAAGGTCTATGCTAAGCAAGTCAGGGCCAATGCAGTTGCCCTTGGCAATTATCTGATGAGCAAAGGATACAACCTCGTTACCGGCGGAACCGAGAACCACTTGGTTCTGTGGGATCTTCGCCCTCTCGGATTGACAGGTATTGGCTTTAGATTTAACTAGTTTGTGATGTAGAGAGTTGATTTCCATGGAGACAATTTCATTATTTTTCAGGAAACAAGGTTGAGAAGCTCTGTGACCTGTGCGACATCACTGTTAACAAGAATGCTGTTTTTGGTGACAGCAGTGCATTGGCACCTGGAGGAGTTCGCATTGGTAAGAATCGCCATTTTTTATGCTGTAGAAAATGTAATGGTATTAAAAAAACTTAAAATTTCACTTATTGTTTGTTTAAGTAGGAAGAACTTTTCTTGCTTAATGGGATACTTCTATTACATTGAGGGTTGTGGTTCACTCTGTATATGAAGCTCCTAGTCGAATCATTGACGCATTCCTCGATCGCTGTTCTAACATGTAAGTTATATGTAAGAACGACTTTTGCACACGATCAAGTAACTTGGGTTTCCATTGCAGGAGCTCCTGCTATGACGTCGAGGGGTCTGGTCGAGAAAGACTTTGAGCAGATTGCTGAATTCCTCCACCGCGCTGTGACGCTCACCTTGAAAATCCAGAAGGAAAATGGGAAGCTATTGAAGGACTTTAACAAGGGGCTTGTGAACAACAAAGACATTGAGGAACTCAAGGCCGATGTTGAGAAATTCTCGTCCTCCTTTGACATGCCGTATTTAAAATCAGATTTTAAGTGTGGTTGGGGAAGAAAATGACTATCGTACTCTCTTTTTGTTTAAAAAATAAATAAAATTATCAATTATATTTATAGAACATCTCTAAGAAGTTCTCTATTTATTGCGAGCATCTTACCTATAATAAAAATATTTTTAAATTTAGAGATTAAAATTTTTTATGCACTCTTAACAAATGATATTTATTTTGACTCTGTATTTGCTTTTTATCAAAAAATATTTATTGATTTCTTTATCTTTTATTTAACATAACTTTTAACGTATCAATTGCCAATCAATTCAAATGTAATTTTAATAATTTAACCAATAGAGTATTGAGATTCATAGTTATCATTATAAAGTAAGAATAAATAGTTAGTTTAACTTTATTTTAAAAAGTTAAAATAAATAATCTTTCGAAGCTTAATTTTAAGCATCAACCTCTAAAACAGAGAACAACTTCTGTTCGAAAAGTCACTTAGAAATCCTCTTAAAATAGTTCTACATACAGTAACTTCATCGAAAATTTTGAGTTGAACAAATAATGTTGTATATCACCTATTTATGTGACGGTGAGAAAACTACCATCGAACAATGTGACAGCATATACCAATTATCATTAACATTTTGGATGATCATCGGTTCGAATGCTACAAAAATTAAAGGTTTAAAAATAAAATGCAACGAATTGAACAAAAACCATAATGCTCTTTAATGGGCAAAGGTGCAAAAAATTCAAAAGAACTGTAATTTCACTATGAGCTTATACTGCATTCCACTATATACACATGTTCTCCTGTCCACCGTGGGAAATTTTATCTTGTTTACTTTGCATAGAACCTTACTTATGGTTCTTACATTTGAAGAAAACTGTAAGTAAAATTTTCGTACCACATCAACAAATGGACAGTCTTATCCTTGTAATAATTTCTTTCCACCATAAAGGTAGTGGTTGGGCTTCACTTTACGGGTGACCCTATACAAAGGAAAAAACTATGGTATAGAATTTACTTGTGATGTTGTACGATGAATATTATAGGCTTTATGCATAGACATTTCGGATATTTCACCAATGGTCACTAAAGTTCATAACGATTTCACAAATGGTCACTCAGTTAGAAACTCTAGCGTGAAATCTGACGTCTGGCCATAATATTTGAGAAAATACCCTTCAATTATTTTACAAGCATTTCACTTTTCCAATTAAGCTTTGCAGCCTCAATTGGAAAGAAGAAACAAATCCTCTAATTGGAGTTGGATATTTTAGAAAATAATTTCACTTCCCCACACAATTCAAGAAGACAGCAAATGCAACGGAGCTTAATTGGTTACCACTGATAAACCGGGAGAAGGGTCAGCCTCTACTTTCATGTCATTGCATATGAAGCTATAATAAAAATGGCCTGATCTGGAGCATAAAAGTGACATCAATCAAATATTTCTTGGGCTTCAATTATGCTGTGCTGACTGAAAAAGAACAGAAGGGAGTAAATGAGTAACATTTCAGGAGAATATACAGCTGTAAAACAGAAAGGGAAAGTAAAATAATTAAGGGCTCACTAGTCGTCCTTCGTTATGCGATAATACTTCTCAGCGTGTTGCCTTTGACCAATAAGTTGAGCAAACCGCTCATCGTGCGTAATGACAATCAGTTGAAAGTTTTCCTGACCTTTTCTATCCTCCATTATTCTGTTGAAGTTGCAGAACCAGAAAAATGTAAATGGAGGGATCTTAACTCTAAGGACATGTCTGGTACGCAGTATTAACAACAATATACAGTTTAATGGACAAGATTTGAACTTCTTTTTTCCATATATGGTATTATCCAAATCCATATTACCAAACATGCTGTAACCATTCATTTACAGTTGAGTTGCCAATACCTCAGGATAGCTGCAGCGAGAGATTCAGAATTAGGGCCATCCAAGTTTGTAGTTGGTTCATCAAGGGCCAATATTCCACAATTAAGGCAAAAAGTTTCAGCTAGTGCTAATCTGATTATCAGAGAAGCAAGGACCTAAAATAAAAACAAAATGTTGGAAAAAATATGAGAGAGAGAGTGAGTAGAACATAATACAAGAAAATGATGGAAAGAAAAATGATAAAAGAAAAGCTCTAATTTCAATATCAGATCTAAAGTACATCAGAAATAAAAGCATGCTAGATGCAGAACACATTGTAAGCTATAGGATATCATTCACCTTCTGACCAGCACTACATCTTCCTCGCATTTCTAACTCTGCATCACCAGTTTGCATTAAAACCTGAAATTCAAATCATAAATAAGAATTAAATCTCTTTAAGAGAACTAAACACCCTAACACAGTTCAAACGACGCAAACAATTCTTGTATGATGCAGGTACATATTTGATTTTTCCCTTTTTTTTTTCTTTTTTTTTTTTTCCTCTTATTTAAAGGGGTTATATTTTTGATATTCTACAGAAAATATTTAGAATAGACGAAGGTTGGCTGAATAAAGTTCAGATGTCAACGAGACTGACAGAGATAACCAAGGAGACTCTTGGGAAAAGTAAGGTTGCAGAAGCTTTCTTAGTACAAAACTCAAAAAGAGAAAGCTTCACTAACATGTATCTGAAATTGGGATATCGCAAAAATATTTGTGATATGGCAACAAGAATGTAATAGAGGTGCTTCAAAATTTATATTAGCTCGGTAATCCAGTCCTTTCATCAGTTCTACTTAAATAGCAAGGTCGCATTGTAAAGTGGAGCAGATTGGTCAGAATTAGAACCCCATCTCTTGGGGAGCACCCCACAAATTGGAGGACAATTTTTGGCCTGTTAGGTCTAGAGAAACCTGGACGCTGAGATTGGCTGTTTTGCATCATAATGTTGAAATACTAGTTACTGTTCCTCCATATGATGAAATGTATTGTTCATTTTAAATGTTAAGATATCTGTAGCAATATCTTCGGCTGAGAAAATAACATTATTTGCAATATTTTCTGATAATGCTAATTTAGATACATTTCACGGCAAGTGAATGTACAACTAAATAGTAAGCCTTTTTCCAATAATTTTGAGATTCTGGGATATGATACTTTTTTACAATTCATTTGATCCATTGCTACATATACCAAAGAAATCCAATGAATCAACTCTTTTACATCCACATCAAGGCCTCTAAACTGTCCCTATTCTGGCTTCTTTTACTGGGACTTCATCACTTTTGGGAATAATATATTTGCCCAAGTATACACAAGACATGTCAACATGTGCTCTATAAAATATAAAAAATAGAGACATGTATGTAAATTTTACATATTATCTTTGATATATGTTTATTCAATATACAGATACATAAAATTATTCACAAATGGCACAAGTACACGTATACTTCGTATAATTATTTGTCCACGTGTATACACACAGTATATATATATATTACTCAGCATTATAAATTTAGCAGATGAAACAAATCAATTAATGGATTTTCAATACCATGTATAAAAAAATAAATGATTTTTAAGATAGAACGTTCCCAGGCCTAACAAGTAAAATAATTATAAAATCACATCCATATCTACTAACAAAACCTGAAAAATAATCAAAATCCAATTGAGACCTGAAGCTCAAATATAAAGGGTTCACACATCATCCTTTAAGCCTCTTGAATATTTCTATTGGTCGCTGCCACTTATTCATATCACAATGCTAATGAGCAATTAATAAGCGGATGCCTTAAGACGAATGAGCAGACAGTAAGGATATTAAAGACAATCATTTGCATGTGAGCTACACCTCTTAAGATTGAACAGCAAATAGTTTTAACAGATTTTGTTTGCAAAACTCTTTTGGATTGTTTTTTGAATTCCATAGACAGCTTTATTTGATTCAAGTGCTATATAGGAGGAAAATTTGTAGAATAATAGCCTTTTTACTTTCTCGTTCTGGAAAGGGTAGTGGTTTCATTAATATAGAACTAAACAAAGAAAAATAGAGGAAGATAATAATTGATAATTACCTTATAGCTGTATGATCGAGTACCAGCACCTTCGGAATCAGAATGAATGCTTATATAATCTATATCTTGTCCCCTATAGGTCTGCTGCCACAGTTCTCTTATAATCTTATTTATCTCTTCCATTTTCATAGTATGAAACCGCATAAGTGCTCTAAATTAAAACAAGTTAGTGAAACAATGTCAGGTATTTGAATTGTAAGAAATGCTATATGAGTAATATTCTGAACAAATTGAATTTATAATCACAAGCTGAGATGACATTGGGAATGCTCACTTGTCCAGAGCATTGTAATAGCGGTCGAGGTCCTTGTTTGCCATCTCAGTTGTCTGTTGAAAAAAGATAACAGTCAATTAAATGATAAAAATAATAAAAATAATTGCACAAATTATTGAGTATATTCTACTATAAATCACCTTGAGCTGAATCAGTTGATCAAAATAACGTTTGTCAATGTCCTTATACTGAGCCTGCTTCAGATCAACCTTATTCTTGGAAATATTGTCCTTGTATACAGATAATGTCCCCTGGTATCTATTTAACTGCAACAAGAAGCCATCACTCAATTATTATAACATAAAATAATCGAGAGACTAGTAGTGTGACACGAGAAGAAACAAAATAGATGAGATAAACTAATTATAGCTAGATAGTGGTTATTACTCCAAAAAGGGTTGTAAGTTCAGAAATATATAAACCAGCAACCGTTGTGCATACATTACTTGCATTTTCAGCAATTGACCATTAGTCAACTCAGGAATCAGAGAAATGGCAAGTATCTCAGACACACAACATAATAAAATGCTAGTTAAAATGTCACTTCTAGCTTAATTAGTAAGGTCATTCCTTCTGATGTGAAGACTACATATGAGTGAATAATCATACTTCTGTAAGAAGTCTCTCTCTTTCTTTTGAGAGCCTCACAAGCTCAGTTTCTATCATGGAAACGCCTCCCATCTTCAGGATTCTATCTTCCAGTGATTCAATCTCAAGTGTAAGTTCATCCGCTTGAGCCTTCACGTTCCTGTACTCCAAGTTATCCACAATATTGCGTCTCAGTTGATCTTGGTCACGCTTTAAATCTTTACTTTTAGTCAGTTCAGCAGAAAGTTCCAACATTCTTGTTTCACAATTCTGCACCTGAGACTCTGATAGAATCTGTTTTTCTTGTAATTCTTTTAATCTCTCTCCCCTTTTCAAGTCATTATACCTGGTAAAACAAAACTAATTATCAAATAAATAACAACTTAAAAAAAATAATAATAATAATAAATAATACAGATCACATTTATGACCAAAAAACATACTCTTTGATCTTAGAAGCCATGCTATTAAGTGTATCAACTTCCTGTTGATATGCTCTTCTAACTTTATCCTGCTTGTCATACTCACGATCAAGCTTGAGTTTCAGATCACTGTAGTCACTGTATAATTTTTCTGTCTCCTTCTTTAAAGGACCAATAGCCTCAGCCAAATGCTGAAAGTTTTCAGATATAACAATGTGTCAGACATCATAAATCCAGGATAAAGGAGCATGTATTAACAACAATACATAACATCAGGAAACTGAGTTCACACTATACATCTGGAGCCTGTTGTGTGTATTGGCGTGGGCGGAGTAGATACAGTAAGAAGAGATACTGAACATTAAGCCACTGTTCGATGGAATTTATTTCAAAAACACTTTTTTCTACATATATATTTTCAACGACACGTGAACATATAAACCCAAAATTTTTCCCTACTTTTTAACCACACATTCTCCAAATATTCACTATTCAAAACTTTGTTTCAGCCAAATAATGGCCATTAAACAGGGGTTAAAACATAAAGACTATACTTTTCTTCCGATAAAATAATACAGAGCAGTTTGATATGCAATTAGAAGACTGGTAGAGTCGGTATTGTGCCCTTTTACAATAGAATGTTTTACTTATTTCTTTATTAAATTTGCAAGACTTAGCCCCCAATTTGGTTTGGGAAAAAATTAAATTTCGAGTAGATTTTGATAAAAGTTGATAAAACATTTGATTAAAAAGTCGATAAAAGTTGTGGGTATTATTGAATGTGTGGTTGACAATGAGTTTTATGAGAAGGGGGCCAAACAGGGGTTTGATCAGCTACTAACATCTATTTCACAAGGAAATAGTTTACAATCTAGTAACCCAGCCACTGAAAAGATTTTCTTTTGTACTGCCATGTTGGTGTCTCCCAAAACAACAAATGAAATTAATGATTAACATATGGACACAGTAGAAATCCATTATTCATCGGAATTGACCTTGCTATGTAATATTTTCATTAACATGTATTCAACGCTTTGAATACATTTCAACACAATATGGATCAGAGATAAGATCAATATAAGGTTTTGATGATGTTGTATTGTTGATCAACATAATGCAAACACTCGCTTATCCCTGTCACCTTATGCAAAACACTTGTTGCAAGAAGGGAATCTTTAACCTATCATCTCAAATTTATTGCATATGTATTTCTTGATATAATGAGTAAGTAGTTCAGATCCAATACACGATGAATTGGTATAGTAATTATTACATACTAATAAGAACTTAAATTGTCAGGTAAAGGCATGCCAAAGTATTTCAGAATAATTAATCACCTTCTCATCAAGCTCAATTCGGCTTTTCTCCTCCGCCAAACGATCTAACTCTTCCTCTGCTCTTTTAATGTTACCCAATGTGTTAGCAGTAGTAGCCTTTTCTTCCCTTAGAGAATGCCACCTTACCTGAAGATTTGATAGATCCTGATCCATGTTCCTCCATTCCTCGTTCAAGTTCTTAATATCCTGATGTAAAGTATCCCTGTCGCCGGAAGAAAGGAAAATGAACTCAAATCAGCAAAGATGCTTCCATATATGACAGCAAAGTTCGTCAGCTATCTAATGAGATATTGCAAAGCAGATCTATGTGATAAACAATTTCACATCAGAAAATTCATAAAATAAAGTTGATCGTCTTCTATTATACCAACAAAGGATGAAAATCGTAATTTGGAGTACACAGCAGGAAAGCGTTCACATACTTAGTAGTCTGCATTGTATTCAACTCTAATTGAATTTCCTCTAGGGATTTTACACCTTGCCCTCGAAAATCAAGCTTATACTCTAAATCATTAACTTGCTTCTGCAAAGCCTGTATTTCTTGGAAGAGCCTGTCTGCGGTTTCTACTGGTTGTATCAAGGCATCAACTAAGTCCTTATCAGCTTTTATTTGAGCCAGAACACCAAGCACCTGCAAGCAAAGCAAATGATCCTAAGTGCCTGAGTGCCAGTAGCATGTCTCCAGCAAATAGCAAGCTGATATATTATCTAGTCAATGATAAGCATAAAAGAAATTAAGAAAGGAAAACAAAATATACAACTAAGAGAAAACAAGTACCGAACTTGAGGGAAGGGAAGGATTCTTCGGTGAAATTAAATTGTTGATCCCCTAAACACCCTCATAATTTACTGCTCATTTTATATTACACGTTGTGCATTATATGGATACATTCACCTGCCCTATTAGTCTCTCAACTACCTACCAACACAACTAAATAAGAAAATATTCCAATTATCTAAACAGTAAAACTACTTTTCATTTAAATTATCCAAAGAATATACACGAGGTAACAAGTACCAAAACCACTAACAAGTAAAATACAGCATTTGATAATTACATCATCATGAGCCTGATTTTGTTGATCCAGTTCTTCGTTTAGCTCTTTCAGATTCCTTTCAGCGAGAGGAATAGTTTCTTTGCTGATTTTATCATATTCTTCATACACCATGCGAATTTTGTCTAATTGCTGGAACTGGAAATCAGCATTTGAAGACTCCATAGCCAGTACTTTCATATGCTCTGCAGAGCTTGCAGCTTTTACTCTTTGCTGTTATGAAGTAAAGAGATCAGGGACCCTCTTAGTTGAATAAGGAGGTGGAAGACATCATTACAATAGCATAGGAAATAAAAAAGAAAAAGAAACCTTTTTAACAAATTCATCTTCTTCTTCTGCTGAGAAAGGTCTCTCACAGCACGGACAAATATGATGAGCACGAGCAACTCTTTCAAAAGGATCAAACATTTGCCGCATGCCATCGGCAATGTTATATTTGCTGCAAGCATGTATAATGAAGTGTGTGTTGAGAGATTATGGGCATACACATACATATAAACTGAAGCCTATGCCGTCTACAATAACAGTGAAGTTAAGCACCTTTTTTGGACATCTCTTTTTTCCTTGTTAATATCCAAGACTTCAAGGTACGATTCAATGCTAACAGATTGCTGGTCCAACGATTGGAGTTTCGATTCAATGAATCTCCTCCTTGCTGCATCAAACAAATTAATCGATAGTGTCAAATGGTATAGAAGAAGAAAAGGGAAAAGGAACAAGCTTGCACAAGCAGTTTTTAATGAAAAAGTTTTTATAAGTTCAAAGCTAGAACTTCCCTAGATCCTGGCCTGATCTACAGGGTTCAAACATAATAACATAATAGTAGTATAATATATGAAAGGGAAAAGTGGAACTTAAATTTTATGACCCTTCCAGAGGTGAATGAATAGCATATCATTAAGGTTTTTACAATGCTTATAAAACTAAGGTTCCTATCCACGTCTGAGATTATAAGAGGGAGAACATTGCTTTAGGAGATGTATCCAGGGAAAAATCCGTCTCAGTCACAGGGATGGCAGCATGGAGGGTTGATGTGCCCTAAGCGGGGCATACAGACTGGGTATCCGCAGGGCTTGGGTTTGGCGAGGCAAATTGTCGTCCCTTATCAGTCTTGTCTTGTCTATTCAGGAAGTATAATAAGACTAAAACCAAGCCGAAATAGAATATTTTTTAAGAAGGGCAAAAAATATTTGGGATTTAGTAGGTGACAAATTCTTCAATGCAAAATTAAACATCAAGAAAACAATGTTTAGCTTCAAACACTAGTGGAACCTGTCAATGCAACAAAAAAGAGCACTAAATGGAGGAAAAAATCGTTATATAGCATTTGACCCATGAAATTTAGCCTTACATTCCATGTCCTTGTGAAGTTTGGATAAGTTACTGTTTACTTCTTGTATTTTCACCTCCATTTTTTTCACCTCCATTTCAGTTTCGTGGGCTTTTGAGTTCAACTCATTATACTCTTTCTGGAGCAAGCTGCACAAGAACCAGCATGTCAAACAAACTGACGCAAACCAAATGAATGTTGCAGGCAAGCTCACATCATTAAATTCCAAAAACAGTAACTGGAGAGAGCATGGAGAGAGCATGCACATGCAAATAATCTGATGTGATGCAATATACAAGCAAATCTCAAGAAACTTCCATCACCTTTGAGCCTTGGTAATTTCTTTCCTCAAATCCTTGTCAGGAGGGAGCCTACCTTTAAGTACCCCTCTAATTTTATCCTTGTATTCATCCATTCTGTAAATTATTGGGAAAGAGGTATCAGCTTAACGAGAGGAAAAAAAAGGCAAACACAACTGAAAGGTTACAGCACAAAGTCAGGTCAAAAGTAGACTTGCATTTTTTTGTGTTTCTTTTTGTGGTTTTCCAACTCTGCCTTCTTGAGAGAAAGTTCAACTCTGTCTCGGGAATCAGCAAGAATGGAGTCTCTTTCATGGCTAAGAGCTCTAATTTTTTGTTCTAAGGTATAAATCTCACTCTGCTTTTGGTTTATATTTGAATCGAAATTTCTTTCTGCTAGTTGATTAGTCTTTCTCTCCAAGTCAATTTGCTGCCGAAAAAAGGTAATATTATCAGCTTTAAAAAGACAAACATCTATCTGAAAATTATTGAGCATGGGCTAAGTACCATTTGTTTGTCCCTCCTGTCAATAGATTCCAGATTAACATTAAAAATCTGAAGTTCAAATGCATCACGCTCTTTCTCCTTCTCTTCAATAAGTTTTAAAGTGCCAGTCTACACCAAAGTGATGAGTATAAAAATTAGTAGAATATGATGAAGGACCACAGGAAAAGAGTGCACGTCACTTTTAATGATTTACCTTGATTTCGGCTTTAGCCTTTCTCTTGGCATCAATTTCTTTGCACCGATCATTTGCGTGCATGTATTGATCAAATGCTGCCTTAATTTCAGCTTCATTAGATTTCTGGAATAACATGGATCCGAGTAAATGTCCATCAGCGTAGATAAGAAAAAGTATGAAGAAGATGCAAGTGCATGAACGGAAAGGGGACAAGAAATATGGATTACCCATAGAATTTAGAAAATGAAGCAACAATTTGAACTAGTAGAAAGAATGGAATGGGTTGGTTCTCATCTTGGAGAATTGCAAGAAGTTATTGACACTAATAAAGCTTTTGCATAGGAGAACTTTTTCTCTCAGATGACTTGTGCTGAGATTAAAATTAGAACACTGCAGAAGCAGCATAGGAATAGACACATTAGAAACTCAAAAATGGATATTCAACAAAGAGTTAAGGGGTGAGGATCCAGGTACCATAGTGTCAAATATATCCAATAATACTCAATAAGACTCGATGTCTATCAATGTGAGATGTTCTCTCATTATATGGAACCAAACAAAACTAAATATGGTACCTATCAATTACAATATTGGTCGCTATCAATTACAATATTCATTAATAGTAACCTACTAAATATAAAGATTGATGTTTTATATTCTTTCCTTATATTCCACTGACATCCCCCTGAAATTGATGTTAGTAAAAACATCAATTTACCATTGTGAACCAAAAGCAGAGATAGTGCTTGTGCCCACAACGACGAGACCCGAATCACAGCAGCCATCTACGAAAAATAGTGACGACAAGAGACTAAGAACAATAAATAGTGTAAAAACAACCAAGAACTACTCCAAAACCACTCCAGAGAGCTTACACCCCAAAAAGAATTTCCAAAAGAAATTCACGAAATGCACCGACACACACAATGAGCTCTATCCGTCGAGAGAACTCAGTCGAACATATAATTCGTGTTCCAACAAGAACAGATCGACAAGGAAACCAAGTCAAAGGGTCGCGCTTGATAGACAAGCCCGGCCAAAAATCTAGCAATATATCGCTGGCCAAGATGTTGCATTTGGAAAAAATTCCATCGAACAACCTACACCAAAAACTCAAAAATGGTCCTCCTCTGAGAATCCAAAACACTCTAGCTCATCATCTGAGCAACATGTCTCTAAAAAAACACCAATATTCTGCCACTATACCCACAAAGCACTATAGAAAGGGTAAAAAAATAGTCAAAGCCTAATCAACACCCAATCTTGATAAAGCTCACTCTGACCAAACTAAATCAGCCCACAAAAAGAAACCAAATTGCAAGCCCAAACCAACTTGAGCCCAAAATCAGCCCACTCAAAAAGCAGGCCCACACAACAGATTTCATAGCCCACACAGCAGCCCACTAAGGATACTCACAAAACTCAAACCAGCCCACAAAATCAGGCCCATTCCATAAATTCAACCCATCTATAACCACACACAATATAAATATATCCATAGGCCTAATAACCTAAACTCAATCAATAACCCAGTCCAACTCCTCCATCTTCGCCACCTCTTCAGATGCTGGCAAACCATGGACCAGTCAAACTATCGTCGGCAAGTCATGTTAGTTCCCGTCGCCGACCAACTACCTAGCATCACCACACGAATAAACTTCATCATCTTTGAAATCCTACCCAAACCATTATCTACTTCCCCAGAATCCTAATTAACCGTCTACAACTCCACTTCACTAGCACCCTAAATCATTCACAACCTACAAGCTCCACTGCCACTTGCTTCTTCAAATAACCCAAATCCCACCATCACCTCTCCAAATCATCTTCGGTGGCTGTCCCATACTCCACCAATAGCCTCCAACAAACATAAATCGACCAAAAGAAAAAAAAAAAAAAGTGAACAGAAATGAAACCAGGTTGTCCAAAGTCGGAATTCTGAGCTTGACGAGGTTCTTGGATGTACCCACGCTGAGTGTGATTTCATATTCGCTCAATTACTCTCCAAAAACGACGACTTCTTCTCTGAACCCAAATGCGACTTCTTTTGCCTTTGGTAAATTGAAATAGATAATGCCCATAGAAACAAACTACAACCTCAAAGCCCAATTACAAGAACAGCCCAGTTAAAAAAAATCCCACCAGCCACTCCAAACCGGATCTTAACTCAAATCAGCCCTCAATTATAACCCACTCACACCAGTCCAACACCATTCACCCGGCCTAAATTCCTTCAACCGGCCTAAATTCCGTCAACCCTAGCCCAACCACCACCATCACAGAAAACACATCCGGCTGCTCAACCTCAAGTGAGTTGAAGAATGTGAACAGCAACCAAATCATTAGATTCCTTCTTTGCGATTACAAACTTCCTATCTTGAAGAGGATGGTTCATGAGATTGAAAGTCAGTCGGGAAAAAAAAAATATCTTGACAAGGGCTCTAAAAAAATTCATGCACGAATCAAGAAATTCAATTCAAGAGCAACTAAGAAAACTATCCGAATACCAAAAAGACTGGACAGGAAATATATTCAATAATACTCAATACTCCTCGATGTGAGAGGTCCTTTCATTATATAGAACCAAATCAAAACTAAATATGGTAACTATCAATTACGATATTGGTAACTATCAATTACAATATTCATTAATGGTAAACTACTAAATATAAAGATTGATGTTTTATATTCTTTCCTTATATTCCACTGACACATAGCACTATCCAACAAATGATGAGAGAAACCTATAAGAAGGGAGATCTTTTAAAAACTGGCTGAGAAAAATTGCCAATTGGTGTGGCGGTCATAAACATAATATTCAAAATACCTCATCACTCAGACCATGAGTGTTAGCAATTAGATTCATCCTAATTATTACACTCTTAATATATTCTACAAATGGCCCAGTGAAGTTAGCATTGGCTGTAAAAATTAGCTCAATGGAGTATGGCTCGACATACTTTATCAATAAGAATATATGAAAAAAGACCTGTATTGGTGTCAACTAAATTTCTTTGGAACCTGCAAAAATTGTTCAGCCAGGTATGAATATGCATGCATTATTTGAAAAAGTGATTATCAGAAAGGCCTTACAAGCTTCTCAAAGTTTCATAAGAGGGTATGCTGTACATCAAGAAAAAAGGGAAAAATAATTATGCAATCAGGTTCTATAAAAACCATGGAGTCATATGACAAATTAGAGAAGCAAGGATCAAACAGGCATAGGTTCTAAACTAAATGTAAAAGTATATACCTTTTTATCTTCCAAGTCCTTGTCAAGATCCATTGACCTTAATTTTATTCGATTTATGAGGTTCAAAGCAGCATCGTCGCTGAAGGGACGATTTGGAAGAGACCCTAAATTGTGCTTCTCGAAAAGCTGTTGAATTGTGAAGTCTCTTTCATTCTTCAAGGACATATGAGCCTGAAGGCCACAAAGAGAGAATTATCCAAAAAAAAAAAAAAAAAAAATGCCATCTTAACTAACTGTAGTTTAGAATGTCGATGAGCTAATTGATGAAAATTACTTCAGCAGCAGTTTGAAGCTTGGCAATCTCCTTAATATTCTCCTTTATCATCTCATAAACATGCCATCAAGAAATTTATTTTACAGAAAATAATTATGCAGATTGTAGGAACCCTAGTGGCATCTGATAATCCTTCTGACTACAGTAAAGATGGAAGGCACTGGCTTGTTTTTGACAGTGTCAAAGATTTAATGCTTGAAGGTGGTGGAATTATTCATGGCAATGGAAGTGTATGGTGGAAAAATTCCTGCAAAATAGATGAATCTAAAGTAAGGGCCTGTTTGATTGGGCATTTTTTCCATGGAAAATGGACCTTTTGGTAGTGTTTGATAGCAATATATTTCCATGCAAATTGATTTTCATCTTTCCGTCACACACTTGCCAATTCCATGATTTTGTGGAAAACCAATTCTTGTTTTCCAGCCCTTTTTTATTTTTAATTTTTTTTTTGGTAATTGGAACGAATTCTATTCCTAATTGTAACAAATTTTGTCCATTTAATTGACGATTTTCATTAAAAATAAAGCCAAATGAAAATCAAAAGATCCAAAATTTCAATATTTTTCAGGTGAAAAATTATACTAATCAAATACATTTAATTGACAATTTTCAGTAAAACAAGTTTTAGGAAACTCAATTCCTTAAAATTCATTTTCTTTCTACCCAAATTTCATTCTTGCAACCAAACGGACCCTTACTTTCAATCAATGTTGTCAAAATTAAATTTTGACTTGAAAAATTGAGAACCAACTCAATCTTTTATAGAAAAAATTGAAAACTCCTTAAATGTGCCAATCAAGCTAAGTACTAGTCAATTTATTTTGATTAAATTTTTCTAATACCAATTCGATCTCAATTTCATAATTATTTGACCCCTTTAATTCTTTAACCGATTCGGGTCAGTATGAATTTTAAAATGATACTTTTTAATATTTCTCGCAAAACAAATTGTTGATTAAAAAAAAAAAAAAAAAAAAGACGTTTACTTATATTTAAGCTTAGGAAGACATGGTCATGGCCTCACATTACCAAGGAGTTATGACCAAGTGTCATCTAGATGTGAATGCTCAGAAAGCTGATGAGACAACAAAGTGAAGGGATACAGGAAACCTATGAAGTGCTACTTCAAAAGGGGATATTTCGTACTAGCTTCAGTGAAAAAAAAAAATGCCATTAAAGATCACACCATTTTCAATGTCTTATCTACCACAGCATTTAAAAAAATAAAAATAAATAAAACCTTGTATGCAGCATCTTTCAAGGTTTGTAGATTCTCAAGTTTCAGCTTATATGTCTTTATCTCTTGAGCCTGATCTTTGTGAAGCTTTTTTATAACCTCCAAGGCCTTTGTGTATCTACAGAATAAATGTAAAATAGATGTTATCTTGGTTACAAATCCTATAAAACAGAATTTTATCATACCTATACAGATACATCAAAAGCTTTTACGTACTCTATGTTGCAAGCATCCAGCAACCACAAAAAATGGCCTTCTCAGAGCCAGAGGACTAAATGAAACTAGCCATTTCGTTACGATTCCTCTTGCAAAAATCATCATTTAAATTTATTAAATTCACTATGAAGCTTATTACTTATTTTACTCTTCCAGTAACATAATGCTATTTCAAATTATATATCAAAGAGACGAGAGCGTCAATAAGTATGAAATTATAGTGCATGTTGAATCGAAAAAGATTCATGTTAAAACTCAAGATATACAAAAATTAGAGAAAAGAAGACCTAAAACAGACATATAAAGCAATAAATTAATTCATCATCTTATAGAGCAATAAATACCTAGTAGCGGAGAAGATGTCATCAAACTTCTTTTTCAGTGTAGAAGGATCTTGTAACGGCCAGTTGGCCTCATCTTGATGAACAAAAATAACATTCTCAAGAATAGCCTTAGAAACCCCCATGAGAGCAGGAATTTCCCGGTCCATATCAGCACATCGGTAGCTTAGGCAAACCTTCTGTTATTTCCAAAGCATTATAGAAATTCAAGTGAGAAGCTATTAAATTTTTCAATGGCAGTAACTGTCAAATAATGAAGAAAACTATATGAGTCACTTAATTGACTCGAGACACAACAGATAGGTACATAAAAAGGAAATAAACAAATACCAACTAATAATTGAATACAACATCACAATAATAACTACAAAACAATTAAAAACACATATGACCGACTCAAAAAGATAACAGTTAGACTCAACAAATTTCAGCAAACATAACCCGCACTTGCATGATATACAAGAGGTATGTTACCCATGAGCAATATTAATATGTTCAACAGGCCCCCAACCTCAGCCCTCTTTCCAATAACCTTGTTCCTCATTCTAGACTACAATGTGTAATAGGTATTATCCATTATCTGTCTCTCTCTTTCTTCTTCAATAAGCACGTATTTGTGCGAGTCGGTCGCTAAACAGTAATCCAATTAACACCAAACAACAGGTAACACTGTTTGAAACTATAGAGTTGTCAACGAAAAGCTTAGAAAAACTGCATTACTCATTGATGTACTAAAGATTTGTCAACGAAAATCCTGATGAATGGTCGTGATCAAATCACTATAAGTTAAACAGTAGAAGTGCATGTCATTGTCAAGAAAAGTGTCACGTCCCTTAGGGTCTTTGTAAGCTAAAAGTATATTGCTACCAACATAAAGCGAATAAACTGTTATATGAAACGGGGAAGTTTTGAACTTAAGAAAGTTCTGCTGACCAGAAACTTAAGCCAATACACATTACAGTTTTCGACCTACTCGCATCAGAAGAACGCAATATTCGAAATGCTTACATGGTATTCGTGTTGTCATAAGGAATATTATAAAGATGCACAAACTACAGCCTAAAAAAAAAAAGCATCAAAATACTTGTAGAACCAGTATATCCAAAATCCACCCTTACTACACAATACTTGCATAACGCAAAATGCATGACTAATAATACAGTTCACTCTCTATATGCACAAAGTTGTTCCTCTCCTTTCCATTTAGCTGCTTCAAAATTTACATGAACTCAAAACAATTTCCAGAAAATAGAGAAGAATGTACTTCTTTCAAATGAAAAAGATTTAACAAAAAGAAATATGTTCAAACTCTAATATCCAAAATCAAAAACATATTATGCAAAATGCATTTTTGTCCCAAGATAAAATTACCTCCAAAGTGCCTAAAAAATTTGCACATGATTCAACTTCACAATTAATGCATGTGGAAACATACACACGCCACACAATCATATTAAAGCCTTGAGATTATGAAAGTGGTTATATAACAATAATGAATAAGGGGTGAAACAATCTTATCTTAGTTATTTTTTACCTCTCCAGTATGAGGATTTATTGTCTGGAGCACAGACTCAATGGCCTTGTACTCCATCTTGGTGGCCTTTTGGGTCAGCTGGAATGACCTTATGCAAACCACATCCTTACCTGCTGCCGTCTTAAACCGAAGCTTTATCTGGGCTTTTGTCTCTGTCTCCCCTGCCACCTAAATTCACCATAACTTTTTACATAATTGTATACATACACCTAAAAACCTTTCACCGCGTCGACAAATAACACGCACATACCTTGGGGTCATGAATGAAACTGTGACCAGACCGTGCATTTGGGGGCAATTCGCCAGTGCAAGCAACCTTTAAGCACTCAATAATAGTCTGAGATAACAAAAGGATAGATTTCAATAAGTCAAGTGTCGGATAGACTTGTGAGATAAGCCAACAGAATGGAATTTCAGCAATTCTTTTGTCACTTTGGACTTACATTTGTAGATAATAAACAATTAGAAATGGATTTCAACTGTGGCATGATATGAAGCAATGTGATGCTACAACTGATTTCTTGGAATATGATTGTGCGCATTTGTGTATGCATATATCTATGTTGTGCGTAGATGAATAAATCACAAATACTACTACCTGAAGTAAAATTTGAATATGTGCAACTGTGTAACCGTGTTGTGTGACATCTATAAGTGTATACGGTCACTAATGCACAGTGTATAGAGCCGTTATGCTGCAATATTTATTTCCGGAGAGATTTAAGCAGGCCAAGTAAATTAAAAATGGAGTATGATAACCAAATTATGAAACGTGATATTATGATTCTGCATGCATTTCTCCAGAATCGGTGGGTATAAACACGGGGTTCAATGCACCTGCAGAGAAATAATCAAACTAATAGAGGCACTGCCCCTGATGTATGAGGTACCATGAATATTATGCTGCAAATTTGTGTGATGTCTGTATGTATGGATGTGCATGGTTAACATATAGATTGGGCGCAGGTGGGGAAAATAAAAAAAATACAACTTGTGCGTGTTTTATAACACGGTACAACTTCCTTCGCATGATGAGAAACTCTAGCATACAGATTCGTATCT